GTAAAAAAAAATCAAAATTCTCCGTATAACCCCCCCCCCCCCCCCCACACACACACATCTCTTCTTCTTTATACCCCATCCTTCTCATCTTCGTCACACCCAAATAAGCTTAAATGGATCAGTAACAAGAAGCAATGTAGTAACAAGTTACTTCAAAAACATCACTTTTTTTAATCCATAAACCTCCCATCAAGAAATCAAAACAGTACTAGGTGACTTAAGATTTGTGGGTTTTAATTTGTGTTTGTTCATGTCATTGGTGAGATAAAATTTTGGTGGTTTCTCAGTCGTGGAGCTATGGTGAGACTTTTTTAGTAAACAAGATGAGCGATTACTCGAAAAGGAGAAGAAAATTATTTTTCTATTATTCCTATGTTTTAAGAAACCTCTATGAAGAACATAGAAAAAGAAAAATAAATGCGGTTGGATCTGAAAAATATTTGCAATTGAAAGCTCAATTTGCATGGTCAATCAAAGTAAGAAACTTAAGTAGTCTTCTTGTGGTTCATTTTGGAACGCAAGAAATTCTTTCACTATACGAATTAATTTCGAATTTCAAAAAAATTTCTTGACAACCATTGTAGAAAGCTTCTTTTTTGAAATTTTTCTACGAAGAAGATATAATTATTGAGGAATTATACTAATTAATTAGGAACTACTTAATATAAAATATAGCTAGAAAAAGAAAAGTTAATTAATAAAGAAAAAAATATAAAAAATCATAATTTCTTACATGGCACTGACGTGGCAGAGAGTGTAATACACCAAAGTGGTGTTACGCCTTAAGGTGGTATTAAATTCACTTTTAAATAGTTAAGATGCGCAATGAGTAATTATATTAGTTTAGCTAGTAGCTAGCAAAGAAGTTATTCCTGTCAACATATATCGTTGAGGGCAAATCGAGGGTTTACCCGCAACTTCTGTCCATGAATACATACTCATTATTAACACATTTTATTCTTATACATCCTTTCGAAGAGTCACGGGACCAATTATTAATCCTTTGGTTAATGAAAACCCTATATAAATCAAACCTCATTACACTACAAATGGCGACCACTGAGCCTAAGCATGAGCACAGGGAAGCAGAAGAAGAAGCTGTCGGAGCCGATGATGAAGATACCGGAGCTCAGGTGGCTCCAATTGTCAGACTCGAAGAAGTTGTTGTATCATCTGGCGAGGAAAATGAAGATCCCCTCATTGATTTGTAATTTTCTTTTGCACTCTCAATTCATCCAGTTATAGGGTTTAATTGATCAAATCTATAATTTCAGTTCCAGTTCCCCAATTGTTCAAATAATGATGAATTACAAGTGTCACTGGTGTTAGTTTCCCAATTATATGGTTAGTTAAGTAATCCAACAACAACAACATACCTGGTGTAATCGGAGGGTGCATTTAGAGAGATTGTATATTTAGTTTCCTTAATTATAGTCTTGTATTGATTGTATATAAACCATTAGATATCAATGTAATAGGCAAGGGATTAAACTCTTTCATGGTTTCTAGGGAAAAATACTTCCGCTTTCTCTTCAAACATCATTGTCTGCCCCTCTCTTCTTCTTCGTCTCTCTTCTATCATCATCATGTCGGACTCAAAATCTTCCTTTCACCCTGCTCCTGCTGTATCCAACATCTCCCATCATTCTTGAGATAGAGAATATCCAATATTCCACATGGGCGGAACTATTTAAGATTCACGCACGATCCCATCGAGTTCTTGACCATATCATTCCTCCGGAAAAGGGCAAAGAGAAAGTACCGAAAACAGATGAGGAGAAAGAGTTTTGGTCCACTCTTGATGCGACCGTTTTACAGTGGATTTACACCACTATGTCTCATGATCTTCTCCATACGATTCTTGAGCAAGACGCCACTGCTATGGAAACTTGGAATAGATTGCGTGACATATTTCAAGATAACAAACACTCTGGTGCCATCACCCTTCACTCATGTCAACATGGAAGATTTTTCAGGTATCTCTGCCTATTGTCAATATCTCAAATCTTTGTCGGATCAACTCAAGAATGTAGGTTCTCCAGTCGACAACAATAGACTAGTTTTTCAACTAATCTTTGGCAAAATAAACGATGAATTCAAAAATATCTTTATCAATTGAGAGATTTCTTGATTAATTGATAGATCTGAACAAATTGTTACGAACTTGAATAATTAGTTCTCTTCAATAATGAGAGAGAGTAATAGTCAAATTTTGATGAAAGAAAAAAAATTGAAAAGTGAAAAATGAAAAATAAATTTAATGATACTAATGCACATGAAGAAGTGTAATGGATGTAGAATTTGATTTAAAGTTGAACAATTTTGAGAATAAAATTTGAATACAAATTATTTTCTAAAACATTGACACTTTGACATTTTCAATAATTATTTTAAAATGTAGATGTTTTTACTAATTAAGTTAGGGATTGTGACTAATTTGATAATTTTTCCATATTATTTCAGTCATGTGACAATTTTATAAAACTCAAGTATCATATCTTTACCTTATATTGTAATCACGTTCATTGCCATTTGGACTTAGGGTACACAATCCAATTGATCCAGCCCCCATGAAAAGGATATTAGAGTAGATTAAAGTCTCACATTAATCAAAAACATGAACTGATAATTTACTTATATAGACTTGAGCAATCTTCTCATCGTTACTTAAATTTTGAAGCTGAGGTTCAAGTGGATTGAAATTTATGAATTCTTAGAACATCTTTTATATCCGCAACTATTTGTACGAACATTTTCTTCTTATCAAATGTTCAAATGTTCAGCGAGTATACGAGTGTCATTTTTCTCAAGTTGAAACAAATAAAAAATCAAAATATATAATCTCGATTTGAGCTTCTTAATATTTATTATATTTTTACTGAGTAAAATTGTAAACTTTATTGCTTTATTCCATTTTTTGTCTGGAATAAGCATTCAAATTTAACAAACAATTATTAGCTTTTATTAGATGGGACTTGGGAGTTCTCATTTAACTCTGTTCAAGTTAGGTTACAATTTGTTTAATTAAAACTTGCATATACCAAGTCAAATAACACAAGAACTAAAAATCAAAGTAAGCAATAACTAAAAAGACCAAAATCACTATTTAACCTTCACAAAATATAATGATAAATTTCCTGTAAATATTCAACGATATAGTCAAAAAAAATTTACCCATAATTTTCCAAGCTTCCCTAATAATGAATCAAGACCTAACGATATTTCTTATGGATTGTCCATAAAGAATGCAATTATGAGGAATTTAACATTGTAAATATGTTTAAATTTGGCCTTTGGTTGTGTGAAATGACCTTGATTTACGCAAGAATTTCGAACACTAGGTCAGAACTGTTGTGTGTGCTACTCCAGAAATGTCATGAAACATTTGCACTTGCAAACACGGAATATAAGGCAAAGAAACGTATCATAATTCACACGTCTTAAGTATTAAAAATCACATGTCCAAGAGATCGAGGATAAAATATGAGAAATAATATCTAACTAGAAGCAGATGGTGCAAGGTTCAAAACTCGATCAAGGATAAAATATGAGATAACTAGAGGGCAATCGTGTAAGGTTCAAAACTCTATCAATAATGATTGAGATCACTTAGAATAACAACCTTTTGTCAACATCACATGCTAACAACTAAACCAAAGTGCTAAAAACCCTACAATGAGCCAATTATTGTGCCAATAAAAATGGAAACAAAGAACCAACTTAGTAGCAAACAGAAGTAACTAGATTAGTCAGCTTGGAAATACACAAGACATATTGCAATGCAAAAACTTCGAATGCAAGACCCGGAGAATACAACCTTTTACTCAACTCTGTTAATAAAATGGTCAACCGAGGACATCAAAAATAGTTCTTGAACATCACAGCTGAAGTACAAAGTGAATTTCAAAGCTTTCCTATTATCATACCAAAGGGAAAGGGTATGTTATCTATGTTTGCACCAGGGAAACAATCAAACTTTCACCCTAATAGAGATGATCTAGGTCATCTCATAGAACAGCTATATATCGGTCTAGGACAACACAAGACATCATCACCTTCACAACACTCGACTATACATCCATTCACTGCCAAAAACTTCCATCAAAGGTGTACAGTAAAATGAAGGCAAAGTGAACTTTCTAAACCACCAATTACCATACAAAAGCAAAGGGTATAATCCATGTCTGCACAAGGGAAATGATCAAACTTTTGACCTTCTAGATCAACACCATCTCACAGCTCTCAGTTACATGTTAGTCTAGAACAATGTCATGTCAACTATACAAGAAATTACATTCACGACACTCAACTCTATGTCCATCGATTGCCAAGAAGTGCATCACAAGCGTGCCTACTAGGCTAACACTGGAAGAGCAAATCTCATTTTCCAACCTGGTAAAATACTAAAGTCCAGTTTCAAAACATCTCTTGAGTTTATACTTCAAGTACCAATACACTCCCAATCATCTCACAAGCATATTTGAAGTCAACTACATAAATACTCACTGCCCATATTGCTCTATTTAAGCATGTCTGCAGCTTGAACTTACAATGTCTAGGGATTCAGCTGCTAAGCATCAAACAACAAAAACACGATTCACACTCACATGGCATGAAAATGACTCAAGTGAAAAGCTCTTCACTAAAACTTCAATTCAAACTTCAAAAACTATAATCTAAGTTTTGTATCATCTCCAATAGAAACATCAATGTGTGCATTCCATAATAATCCAACATCAGTTAAGCTTTTATCCAAAGCGGCAAAAGATTGCCATATGATACAAACACTAAAATGAATAACCTAAATAATGCTATAATTAAAATAACTCATGAGCGAATTTCACAATTAGATAAACAACATACAGAGTGTAATCTCATAGGTTGAGTCTAAATATGATAGAGTGTGCGACGTTCAGCTCAATTAAATCATATTTACACAAACATATAAATGCAGTCATTTCAAACGAAGAATGCTATGTAAATAAAATAGAGCAAAGAGATACGAAGCGTAAATCCATAGCCAAAATCGGATAATAAAATTTGAATTCGGTGTAATTAGAACAAGATAACAACTCAAAATGTTACTAGAGTTTCAAACTAAAATTTAAACACAATAAACCTAAAGAAGACGATAAGCATAGATAAACCGTTGAGAACTGCGGAATGTGGTTCTACTTCGATCTCTGTCTCATCTTTCGGCGCTTCCTCTTCAACCTCCTCATACGCTTCTTCTTCCACTGAAAACAAAAATTGACAAAATTTAGCATTGAAAACTTCCGGAATGAGTGAGAATGGAGAAATTTCATGCAACAAAATTCATTTTTACCTTAGCTCTCATTCTGAATTGGTGATGACCGGAGAGTTTTCTTCACTTCTCAGGGAGAGAATATCAAATGCGGCAGTGATGAAAGAAGATGCTAATAGGGTTTAGATCAATTATATAGTAAACCCTAAAGACGTGGGATCATTGATGGGCCTAAAATGTAATTCAACTTGGGTCCAGTTATTATTAGGCCCAATCCCGCGGTTCTTAATGGATGAATCGGGTATTTGAAATTTATTCACACCGTTATTCTTCTTTTTGAATTTGATGCACTTGAGTCGCACCGATATGCATAAGGTAGTCTTTTTTATTAAATATATAAATGTAGTTGATTGCATTCACAAAATCACACACATATAGATGATGCATATTGAGATAGAGTATTATATTGAAGAATGTGACGTAAGATATAAGATCATCATTATAATTAACAAGTTATTATTGTATTTTCATATCAATACCCATGACACTAAGGAAATAGGTGAATGGATATTGGGTATAATTAAATGCTTACTGAATTAATGTTTGATCAAAATGAAATTTTTCAACTTTGAAATACGAGTTTAACGTCTATTTTGTCATGAATTCTAAATGACTAATGAGAATTTCTTAGATTGTTCAATGGTAAAGAGTATAATTTCACATGCATACGTAGTTGATCATCATAATTTAATAGTTGAAATTTTGATTTTTTGAAATTGTGTACATTTATTTTATTTGATTATTATTTATTTTCACTTTTATGAGTGGAATTGTACAAATCTCAAAAGTTTATCTAAATTAGGTTGTTGAAACATGACAATATTCGAGGATCAAAATATATAAGATAATTTTCGAAATATAATTCAAAATATGTGATCAAACGCAAGCCAACACAATAGGAAATGGCCCAGGGATTTAGTTTTATAATTCAAATATTATTTAAATCGTGTGACATTTTCATAAGATGTTAGAGTGGGTTGACAATATGCTTATATGAATTTGCACAATCTTTCTATTACGAACTAACTTTTGAAATTAAGCTAGACTGAAATGTCATATTTTTACATGATATCATAGTCAAGTTCATACTTGTTTGAACTTACAACACACGCCCCAATTGAGCAGGCCCATAAAAAGGGTATAATAGTGTATTAAAATCTCACATTGATTAAAAAACAAACAGACAATTTACTTAAATAGACTTGAACTGTTTTCCCTTCATAAATTAAATTTTGGAAATAAGGTTTATATGGATCTCAAAATGTGTGGATACTGGGAACAACTATTTGTACGGTCATTTTCTTCTTATCAAATGTTAATAAGAGTAGCATCTTTCTTAAGCTGAAAAAGCCTACAACATTGATTTTATCTTCTCTACACTTACCTATTTTAGTCGATAAATATGAGTAAAATTGTCAACGTTATACCCTTTTACTAATTTATACAACACATTTTTTCTGTTAAATCATTCACAAAAAAAGAATTTATACATTTCTGGTAAATATCAAAGAATACTGTCAAATTTTTACCCATATTGGATCCTACTTATTTGACACAAAGTGCACAAAAGATGCATTATTACATTTAGAAATTCATTTGCTTTACAGACAGAACTGAAATCTTGTGTTTACTGAAGGGAGAATCCCTTGGTTCAAAAAAAGGTCTCATGAAGGCAACAGCAGCGATAACTTAATAAAAACTTTCTTAATATATGTGTGAGTTATGTGAGAAGCACTTAACTCACACATCACAAATGGTGCGCTTTTCTGCAACTAAACCAAAGCGCTAGGAGCAACTTCGAGACATTAACTTTGTCTGCTTGGGGATACACGACCTTCGACTACTCTATAAAAGGAATGATCATCTGGGACCATAAAAAATAGCACTAGTGCAGTAAAACAAAAGAACAAGTGAACTTTCTAAGCCCTCGCATTTACCATACCATAGGCAAGGGCCAAATAGCACAGAACAATGTCATGTCATCTTATACAAGACAGCATTACATTCACAACACTTAACAATATATGTCTATTCATTGCCGAGTAGAATGCATTACAGGTGCGACTACTAAGCTTAGACTGTAATGTAGATCTCATTACCCATCCTGGTAAAGGAAAACTAAGGTCCAGTTTCAAAATAGTACTACACCTCAATCTGCTCACAAAAAAGATCAAGGTCAACTACATACATACTCACTGCCCAAATTGCTCAAATCAATCAATATCTGGTACATGAACTTACAAGTTAAACCACATCAGAACAGGTTTAGGAATTCAGATGCTACGCAAGCAAACCACAACACACACTTCAAACTAGTCATCAGTCAAAAACTGGACTTCACTAAATTACAGTTCAAATAGGCAAGTTTTCACTACGGGATGGAAGCAAATTCAAATATCCATCTAAAATGGACTCAGCATAAAGCATACTAATGCACCATTTTTTGGGATGAAAATACCTAAGAAATGTCTGCACTCCATAATGATCAAACATTAATTGAACTTTAAATTAGACAAACAATGCGGCAAAAGATTGCCAAATGATAAGCACTGAAATGAAAAACATAAATTTGCTATAGTTTAAAGGTTAAATACAATTATATAAACAACATTCCCAGTGTAATCACAGGTGGAGTCTGACGAAGATAGAGTGTGTGCAAACATTAATCAAACCTAGCGCGGAGGAGGTTGTTTCCAAAAGCCGATCAGCTCAAATAAAGCATATTTTCACATATATATAAATGCAGACAATTCAAACACAAGAAATAGGAATGACGTAAATAAAACAGAGCGAAATAGCACAAATAATATGAAGCATAAATCCATAGCCAAAATCGGATACCAAAAATTTGTATTCGGTGTGATTAGAACAAAATCAAAACTCAAAATGTTACTGGAAGTTTCAAACTAAAGCTTAAACAGCATAAGCCTAACGAAGACGATAAGCATAAATAGACCGTTGAGAACTGCAGAATGTGGTTCTACTTCGATCTCTGTCTCATCTTTCGGCGCTTCCTCTTCAACCTCCTCATACGCTTCTTCTTCCACTGAATAAAACCAAAAAAAAATGACAAAATTAAGCATAAAAAACTTACAGAACCAGTGAAAATGGAGAAATTTCGTGCTATGAAATTGATGTTACCTTAGCTCTCATTCTGAATTGGTGATGATCGGAGAGTTCTCTTCACTTGACAGAGAGAATATTTCAAATACGGCAGTGATGGAAGATGATGACATTAGGGTTCAGATCAATTATATAGCAAACCCTAGAGATGTGAGATATGTGGATCACTGATGGGCCTAAAATGTTAGTTCGACTTGGGTCCAGTTTTTAGGCCCAATCTTGTGGCGAGAATGGATGTGCAAGAATGACCCCCAACAAGGGGTGTTTCAAATTGGAAAAATTATATAAATTAATACATTTTAAAAAATAATTACTGATTTTAATCATATTTTTTGTTTATTACCTTTATAGCAATGCTTTGTTAAATTTATAATATGTATTAAAAGTGAATTATGTATGCAATATATATGAATTATAATTGTTTTTTGAAATATATCATGTTTGTTTGGTAAAAAATTGTTACATTGTATTATAACTGTATTAAAATGTGTGATAAATGTATTATTCATCATTAAAATTTGTATTATATGTGAATAATAAATTGTTTTTTGTAATATGTATTAAACTTGTATTATAAATGAATTAAAAGTGATCAAGTGAAAAAAAAAACATTATTGCTATAAATGGTAAATATTTTTTTATTATAGTATATTTATGTAAGTTTCCCTTTGAAATTTTAGTCCCTTTTCTTCTTTGTACTTGAATTTATTGTATATTGAGACGATATTTGTTTAAAATAACTTTTCTATCTTCACGATATAATAATAAGATTTATTCACTCTCTACCCTCATATCTCACATGTAAGATCACACTACATATGTTATTATTGTTGCTAAAAATATCTTTAAATAATGAATGGACTATGTTACTCATCTGGCGGAAGTTGTATGATAGAAATTATTAGTGTTTTCATAGGGATCGTTTAATAGGGTGTATGAGAATAGTATTGAGTTATGGTATATTAGCAATGTTTGTATTACTTATATTTATATTAGTTATGTTGAGATTATTTTTTATGCAATATTTGGTGTATTAAAATAATATGAATTGCATAAAAAAAATTAAAATATATTTATTTACAAAAAAAACCCTTCACAAATATGGTAAAAAGGGTGTAGAAAAGGTCTTGAGGGACAATTGTGTCTTTAATCTTACTAATGTGTATATTAAAACCTTTTCGCAATACTACTACATTGGATTTCTGTACGTGTCATACAATGTATCCAAGTGGATTCGCATGTATTTGAGATACATAGCAAATTTCGCTAACCTCCCTCGCCTCTCTCCCGGCTCTTGCCACTCTTTCATATATCTAGCATTCTACATACATGTGAATCACTCCATATATATACAGATACGTGTATCTAGTATGATTCACTTGCATCTAGGATAGATACGAATCTCGCTTGCCTTTCTCCCTATTTTTATATATCTGATAATAAAGACATATATCTAAGTATATTTTGCTCATATTTATAATAAAATACATATAATTTTGAAAGTATAAATAACGATAATATGTATAATTGTGGAATATGATTAATTATCTAGTTTTTCCATCTTTTAATCAGGGTTGCTTGGGAGGGGACGTCGCCCTAAAGTTTTAGAAGGCCCATTTTGAGAAAATATTACATTAATGTATGATTATTCATTTATGTATTAATTTTGCTTTAAGAAGGTATCGAATACTATGATGTACAAACTATTAAGAAAAGTATACTTTGTATTTATCTAAATTACATATTTAATCAAAAGAGCACTCTCATAATTTGACTTTGAACACCTTTTAATGCATTCTAGCATTTTAAATATACAATTAATCCTTAGAATTTTTTTTACATTCTTTTCAACATGATTATGAAGGATATTTTTATAAATAAATATATTTGCATAATGTATACTATTTATAATACACTAAACCAAACAATGCATAAAAACTAATTTGTATATGCAAATAATATTTGGGAAAAATTTGGCAAATAATGTTTGTCCATACAATTTGTTATTATTTGGCAAATATTTTTGGCAAATATCCCAAATTTTCAAATACTAGTTTTTTCTAGTATTTGGGTCAAATATCATTATTTGGGATATTTTAAAAATTAAAATTTTACCCCAATCTTTTATCTTTTACAAAAACACTCTCTCTAGTAGTTGTTTGCGTTGTATTACATCATTTTTTACGT